GGCGTTCCCATCAGATCACGGCGGTACCCATAACGTGAGAATGGTACTTGTCAAGCGGCTTGAGCTTTGCGAAGAAGAGCAGGCATACGTTAATACTAATAGAGTCAGCCAGTAGGGTTCACGTATGTAACTTGCATAAACACCTGCAGCAAGATTATGCAACTTCAATAATTGTCGTGTCAAGATTAACTTAGATTAAAGTAAAGCTGAATTTCTGCAGAGGGTCCATGTGTTATGTGCCTAGATTTTTTGGGTGCTAAAATTTGTTCGTTGGGCATGGAACTGAAGAAGAAATAAAAAAGGATACCTAGAGCATAAGGAATATTTGGCTTTTTTCCACGAAGTGGCTAAACGACCCGACGTAATCGTTTCATTTAGAATGAGCAACCGTTTTTGATCGCTGCGTTCCACTATCATCAAAAAGTTTCCATACTCTTTTATGCAACAAGTTATTCGAAATATTGCCCTGGTCCTCTGAGTACATCGTCTATCCAGAGACTTTTTGATTAACCTATGTAAACATACACACTCACACATACTAACATAGTGATTGAGAACACAAGCTGAGCGTGTGCTTGAACGTCGGTAGACACTTCTAATCAAACGGGGATCACTGGTGCACGACCGGAAGCGGATGGGAAGGAACGAACTCGTTCGCGAAAAGGAACAAATAAGCTCTCTATAAACCAATTTCAAGCTGTAATATCAGTCTTGTAAAATCAATGTATATATATATATATATATATCTATTAAAATTATAGACCTTTCTATTAATAAAAGATACTGTTATTATGGCCAACCGTACACCACTTGTTCGCATTTTTTCGAACTAGTATCTGTTTGCAGATTTAACTTGTGTGCCGCTTATTTATTGGCTGCTGATTCATTTTTAATTGATTGATACACAGAAACTTAATTCGAAAAAATAATATGACCTTGAACAATGTTCTAAACACAGATTGTTGCAATGCAGATAATTAAATCTTAAGGTGAACTTGAAATTTCAGCAGGCTTCTTTTTGCGTCCACCGGGATTCCTGTCCCATAGGATTAAAATACTAGTTATAGTTAGAAAAATATGCTTCTTCATTGAAAAAGTACGAAGACAAATACGTCCATCATTTAAATTAATCACCATATTTTATGTCTACTTGTAAGATAGAACAAGATATATAAGATAGAACTTGCCCCAGTTCCTCGCATAGCTAAAGGCACAGGGAGTACCATGCGATGGGAAATAATAGAAACTCAACAGCTGAGCTAGCATACACTTCAATAAAGACATACATTTTTTAACTTGACTACATGCAGTGGCAGATTTTTTTATCGGGTTGTTTAAAAACCAGACTTGAACAATAAGCCCTTCTAGATTAGAAATACCCGTTAAGGTAGCTGAATGTTGCACTTGAAATATATAGACATTAAATTTTAGCAGTATTGAATATAAGATGGTGCAAAACCACCTCTGTCGAAAATAATTTTACATGGTCATCTTAATGATGGGTAAGTTGAATTGGGTTATCTGTGCGCCGTATGTTTGTTTCATCTGGTCACTCGATTCATTTTATTCATAAATGTACCTTGTTTTCGTTTTATTTAGCATTTTTCAAAATTTTAATTAACATGTTTGCATTGCAAGTTACTTGTTGATCGTCAGGGTACTGGCCCTCTATCGGCGGTATATATAAGATCTTGTAGTATATTAAGCGTTGAAAAAATGATAATTAAATCTAGGATTTTCGAGTAAGCGTAAGACATTGGCTTACACACATCTAGATGCACGACCTAAATTTAAGTAAACATTCAATCAATGAATTGTTAGACTCGGTCAAGTAATTTTATGAGTACATTGGTAGTTAACTGATGCAATTGGCTTAAGCAAAACTTTACTGGCGGGCTAATTTTCGAACAAGCTTTCTATTTTTGAACTTTTGTTTCTCCTTAAGCCACTGTTTAAAGTTTTACATAAGATGCACAAGGATAAAGATGACGTATAATTATTTTTTATACTTATTTGCAATCAATTACCATTTCACTGACCAGTGCTTCAATCGCTTTATTTGCGAAGTTCCTTTAGGGAAATAACGAATGCTGCCAAAAATTAGCGTTTTAGTGGTATATTTCTATACTAGAAGTGAGCCTTGCTACATAAAGTCTATGAAAAGAGAACTATGTGGTTTACTCCGATAGAAGATTAATGATGCCAACAGCAGCGGAGAGCGAGGGTTATATCGCAGACATAATAAATCGGAGCAATTTTCCGCTCGATCCGAGATTAACTGAAGCTGTCATGTGATAATTGCGTGTGTCTGTAATACGAACGTGAGATTATTACATTTTAGTATAAGGTACATACAGATGTCTAGACATTAGGTAGGAACGAAGATTTTCTCCTGGTATTCCTACAATATGTTTAGCTAACACAACCCAACAGAAATTACCATCAAGGTTTGCATATGTTTATGATGAATACTAAGATACTGGTAGATATGTACCTTCGGTGGGACTTCGAAGGTAAACAGATCACTACAGGTTTCAATATCTACTCTGCTTGTTACCGTTATTTTTTGCATTGAGTTGGCAAGCCAGGGACAACGCGTTGATTCAGTCGCATTGAAATGGATCAAGAGACCAGAGGCCAAATGGAAGCGCAAGGCTCAACGTCGATCCAGAGAAAGATACGGAGATGTAGCGAAAGATCCCGAGAGATGAGCCATTGAAAGTGAGCAGGGTCGACCGGGATTGGATCCCCCCAGGGCGGAGGGTGTTTCCGTAGGGAAAAAGCGGGGCAAATGGGATGGAGCGCTTCTAAAGGAACAACAGTGTATAGCTGTAGCTCGAGGGACCATAGTAGCACTATAGGATAGAATCGACAGCCGTGGCAGTCCCGACATCCGGAGCACAAGCCCAGTACACAGCTCTTTTCTTTAATGAAGTTGTCTATCGTTAGGGCACTAGAGCTTAATAGAGCTAACATGGATATGCGTATCAAAATCAGCACGCTTACGTAAAAGTGGTGTGTGTCTGAGGCAGCTTTGGAGAAGTAAGAGTGTCGAGGGTGGGACGCCTTAGTCAAAACGATGTTAGGCAACGAGAAGCGCTATTTCTGGAAGCAGCAGAAACAGCTGCTTCGAGAGTAACTAGGGCGGCCGCGGTGGCGGAGCCGGCGTTGCTTCAAGATGACGAACTAGTGCCATCTACTACTGTGGATGAGTAGCAGCAGTCATCGTCGTCCCACAGTTCCGTAGGCTTAAACCAGGCTTTGTGTATATCGTCCTTATTGCCGTGCGTCGTTTTCTAAGTATCCCCCCGACCATTGCTGCTCATTATATCTCTATATCTTTTATGTTTAGGCCACTTCCGTTTGCTATCTATTTATGTACTGCTTTAGTGGAAGATCACACGCGGCTGGAGCTTAGTTGAGTGCCACGGTTCTTACAATTTGCAACCTGTAGGACAGATGGAGTGGTCCATCAGGCTACACAATTTGCCTTATTCGCAATTGGTTGGACGGCAGTGGCTTCATATGGCGAGGTCAAGGGCGAAGGCTACGAAGATAGCAGTAGGACTGTCCAACAAAATACACCGTGGCGTGTTGGGAAAATCAGAACAATTTCTATAAATGCGCACTTCCGATCCTAATTTTCATAGTTTCGCACGAAACTATATTTTAACTGATCGAATGTTTAAAAAACTAAGTTTGAACTTATTAAGAAACACTATTGTTTTTGGATAGTACTTTTTTTGTCATAAATTGCACGCTTTTTAAAATAGTGTAATTTTTATAGAGAATCGATGCGGCATGGTCTTGCAGATAGGATTAAAATGCTTTATTCTTATTTTTGCGTTTTTTTTTTTTGTTAGTTGCCAGTATTACAAGTTTTTAGCTGTGTTAAACGCAAGGTTTACTGACAACAACAACTTCGAAGAAGCTGGCAACCTATACTTTGTAGGTTGCCAGTTGCTTAGGTCTTTCCTCCTCTCCACTTCTCATTCGTAGGCCCAGTCTGTCTATATAAGACGTTAGCGTCGATATTCGAGGCACAATACTTTTTCCTGCTCACAGCTTAGCACTAGCTTGGGGGGATGACCGGGGAATATGAAGAAGAACCTAACTGGGAACAGGGCCACCTGATCGAACCTAGCAAACTTGGATGCCTTTGTCTGGGGTAAAGTGATGAATACTAACGGCTTAAAATACCTGCTTACGTTAGATATTCTATGGAATACAGGTGTCACCATATGTCACAAAAATGAATTTGCGCCACCGCACCAAACTCTTACTTCAATATGCGCTGGTAACTGTCTTGAATCAACACACATCCCGGCGATAAAGACAAAGAATACAACGGAAAAATGGACAAAAATGATTTGCACTATTTTATTAGCGATGGGCCTTAGTCAGAAGCTGCTTTGTATGAATACTATGGATCTGCAGATGACGTACCTGTACCACAAAGGCCTTTGTAGTATAACAGACATAAACTGCTTCTGGAAGGGTGCTTGTAATTTTGTTTCCGCATGACGGTGACGCAGTGGTGACCTGTTTGCCCACTAACCAGACGCAGGAGCATTTAATGGTGTACTGATCGAAGTTTGAACCTCGGCCCAAAAGCAGTTCCGTCCTCTAGTAAAAAATCCGACCAATAGAAAAGCGGATTAGTATAGTGATCCTTCTTCCTGCTAGACTGCTTGTACCGAGTCCCCTGACTTCCTGGCAGTAAGTTCTTGCGGTAATGGTAAACAGCGTTAACGAGATCTATTGTAATAGAAACAAGTTTTTTTTTTTCTAGAAAATTCGCAGTTCGTGTGCTAAATTGTCAGTTTTCAAGGACGCGTTTTCAGGTTAAATTACAAAGAGCCTTGAGCTTCGGGGTTCATATAACTGTTTACTTCTAGTTTTTCGCCAATGCGCTTATATGATACGATGGTTCGGTAGGGCATAGGCGTCTAACGAAACGTATGATAATCATGTGATAACGGCTCTGCTTTTGCCCATAGCTCCATTGGATGCTGTAATGCTGCCGCGATTGCTGTCTGTGCGCAGTGGAGATGACGCCACGGTGAACTGCACCTACCGCGGCGGCCCCGTCGCTCAAGTTTTCTGGACAAAGGACCAAAGGCCACTAATAACGGATCATCGAGTACGCCTCTTAGGCAGGCTCGTACTCCACATATCGGCATTTCGGCGCTCTGATCAGGGAGTATACCAATGCTACGTATCGGGAAATAACGACAACAGTCTTCGATCAGATTCTGCGCAAGGATATGCATATCTCAAAGTGCAGGGTACGTACTAAGGATACTTATTTAATAATAATAATAATAATAATAGATAAACAATATCATTGTTAAGACATTATAGTACGTGGAAAGCTAGTCTAGGTGTTCCGCATTTATTTGTTTCCTTAAATTACCCTTAGCAATTTTGCATGTATATTATACATATGTGCAATACATGTGTTCTGCTAGCTGAGAAGACTGAAAAAAAAGACCGTTCAAATCGCATACGTTGCACAACGGGACTCCGTCTTTCATGGCTATGACTCACACACTGGTCATCGCAATGGATTGTTATAGCTTTGTCTTCTATTTTTAGCTTTTCATAGTTTAGATTATTTTTGCAGTGCTTAAATTTAATAGTATAATTAATGATTCATGAAGATTTCCAGGAAACTAGATTTCTATGACACACTTTACACAAGGCATAGTGAAGATGCATACGCGACTATCGACAAACTTGAAGTTAACCGGCTTCGTTTTTGTGAACTATATAAGTAGTACTTCTGGCCAGCAGATTATATTCGACCATAAGGTCTCTGTTTACCCTAGCCATTAGACGGTATTATTATCAATCTATATCGTAGAACATGCTATTAGCACTTCCGTCCTCCACCTATACTAGTGAGCCTCTAATACTGACTGGAGTGACAATAGAACCTTAATATCTGTTTTAGGACCTGGACCTTTCTCGTCGACCGTCAATCGATTGCTCTGATAGATTAGCATTCGTATTATTAGTAACATTCACGACAACGAATGTAGCACGACGAAACATTGATTGTGCCTTCGATATTGTAGAGCTAGCGTGTTTACGAAAGTCCAGATGCGTAGGAGTCTGGCCTACTTGATTATTTTCCAGTCAGAACGATATATTTGTTTAGCTTTTTGATTTGTGTATTTATTTCCTGGTTGGCAGGTGTGCAGGTTAGTAAATATTCTTTATTGACCATCCGCTCCGGTCGGCTTGAGGCGCCTCACACATGCGTGGTCGTTTTAAGGGGCACAAGCGGTAACATTCGTCCAAAATTAGTGGGTGTTTTTAAACATTGCGAAAATATCTGCCTTATTCGATCTCGCATCTCTAGATCGGGTTGCATTTCTCAAAAACAAATGTATTACGTAGAAGTGCTTTGCAGAGTCCACATTTGATTGTAGGGAAATCAACAGTTACCGTTACCCTCATTTACCTGTGTTTGCCAGTCAAAGTCTTAGCAGTTACTTATTCATCATAGAACTGTTCTAACTCTGTAGAATTAGACCTCTGCATGGCATGGCGTGTGTGTGTGGCAGGCGAAGCATTGATCAGTCGATTAAGTCTATCAGATAGATGCGGTGTTCCATCGCTTCGGGAGCAATATAAGAACGTCGGCGCCGTGAACACGATCGCAGTGGCAAAGAAACGGTGACAAGCGAAAGGATCGCTCATCAGCAATGGTTTCGTCGAGACTATCGGACATCAAAGCGCAGCGTGTGGAATTAGATTGCTTAGCAAAACTGCCTTTGCTACTATGACGCGGTAACAGAGAACTATATTGACGCCTGCACCGGCACTGGCCAGTCTACCATCCTGTCAAAGCTGGCTTGTGTAACTGTAGCAGTGACAACAACTAGCAATGTCGACAATACAGGTATAGTAGCTAGTCGCTATGCTGTTCAGATGGCAGTTGCAATAGGAATTGGTAATAGCGACGGCAGTGGCGGTGATGCTCTGGAGATGACAGCACTGGATAGTGCGATTTCTCTCGTAGTTGCGGCTAGGGCCACGTACACTCGCGTCAGTTGACTACGGCTTTACGAAAGGAGAATTTATGGGGATCACGTCTTCAGCTGGCAGCTCAACTGTTTCTTCTAACTTTCTCTCTCCGTGCGTTTCACCCAGTGTCTTTCCCTTCTCCGTTCGTCTCTAGGTGCTGGTAAATAAGCAGTTGGCCCTCCAGCCAACGACCCATCTACCCGTTCGCGGCCTTCCATATGAACCGCAACACTCGGCCAGCCAGGCCGCACTTTTCGACGCACTCAACTATCCTATCCACCGACCCAGCTACCTACCGTACTTCTCACACAACACAATCACCTATTTGCACAACCACTCACTTTGTCGTCCTTACTCACTGATCTATTCCGTCTTATATAGTCAGCCTCTAACCAGTTGTCGTCGTCCTTTGGCGTGACCCGAGCCAGCTTCTATGCCAACTGGCAGCGTCATCGTCGACATCATATCGTAGTGGCCGCTGCCACTGTCGCGGTATGAGGCAGTGACATTACGGCTCCTGTCGCCGTCGCTGCGTCTACGATAGTCCAGAGTGAATTAATTCCGCTCTCGTAAGAGGCGAAGGAACGGTAGGCCAGCCAGTGAGGTAAGCAATATCGATTCTGTAGATGACGGCGGCGGCGGCGGCGGCGGCGGCGACGGCGTCAACGACGATGACGCTGATCGCGACGATGCTCATGGAGATGCTGCTGACGACAACGGCAACGGAATCTATTTAATAAGTTTTGCAAAGGGCCCACACCGCGCCTGGAACGTGCCTCTATTAAAAGCACCTCAGCAGTCATGTTAGGCTGGCACAGCGCGTTCAGATCGCGGACGCCGCCATCGCTAGCATTGGAACTGATGCCAGCGGTCCGTTGCTGCTCTTACTACTAGAGCTGCAGACGGCGCTGTTACTCGCGCTATAGCTGGTCTGCGAAGAATCAATGTTTCTACAGGGAACCGACGATGATAGCTAATAATAAATAAACTTGCTCCTCACGTGTGTGTTTCTCAGACTCGCCCGGTGAGCTAGGTCGCCGCCAGTAGGTCTTAGGTAGCAAAGTCGATTAGAAAGAGAGGAAACAGGGCCTTTGGGAAGGAACAAGTAAGATCTAGGGAAAGCGGTAGGAGGAGTGAGTTTATAGCTAAGAACCACTATAAAGCGATTATATAATGTATTATAAATAAAAGCGAACACGGTCTCTATCTACATAGAATATATCAGTGTGCTAACATTTGTTGACGTAGAACCATCGACCCAGTTTTGTGCTTTCAGTGTCGTTTTTCATGAACACTCTACAAAGACAAGGTACAATAAACAGTGCCGTAAAAAATATCCAGCAATATCTGGTAATGTGTTTAATTGTGCAGGTTGCGTTTGCCTGTTTGCATCTATATCTTCTCGTGATTGGACGAGATCATTGGAAATTATCGTTCCTTATTAGAAATTCGAGGCCACGGCAAATCGAAACAATCGTTGCATACTTGCACGGAGCTCATTAAGCTCTCGCTGACTGACACGCTGAACCTTAGTGCGATACTTTATGGGCAAAGGATTATTAAGATTAGAAGTTATTACGCGATTGCGTAAAAATGCGATATAGAATTTTGTCGTCGACCATATGGAAACTTGGGGTTGCAAACCGATTGCAAAGTAAGTTAAAAAAACAGGCATGCTTAGACTTATATAATCAATAGACACTCTTTGGAGTACCATAAGACTGCTGATAAGTAAAAACAGCAATTAAAAAAATCCTCACACGAATTATACCATTCATTGACTTCGCTAGACTGGGCCTTGCAAGTAACGCTTGGAAGGTAACCCTCGAAGACTCTGTACAAGACTGAGCTCGTCATAATAGTATAAATATTATTATGATTATTAATATATATATATATATAAGTATAAATAAATTACTATTATTATTATAAGTAGTACAAGTATCGTCATGGCTCCTTGCACCACAAGATTTGTTTCATTATATGGAAGAGCTTTTACGTACAGAAACATTGATCATAAAAGCATATCACTTGCATACATGATTCAAATACCGTTTGCTCCCGTCACATCCAAAACTACACCATGTTGGAAACTGACTGTCAATCTAAGTCGCTAGTTTCTTTCCTACACAAGCGATACAAATTCAGTACAATAACTATATAATCGAAGTTTTGCAGTAACTTATATACGTACTTGTTATGAACATTCTGAAAATCAAGAAAATCTAAATTATTCGAATAATTTACGTTCACATGGAAACATATGGAATAGATATCAAATAGTTTTTTTGACCGTAGGTGAGACATACGCTAATGAAACCAACAAATGTGTATGCGTCAGTAAGTTCACCTTGCGGTTCAACTCATAACTTCTAATTTCGGATTTCGATTAAAAAAAAAAACTAGCGGTACTGAAAAAAAATCGAATTTTTTCGAGCTCACTCTACTTGTCGGCAGTATTTTGTTGGAGGTGGCACAGTTTATGTCCCGCGCATGCGCAGTTGTAAATAATATTGGTGAATGGAAAATTATGGAATTATCACCGTCCGGTAGTTTATAGGACTAATATCTCTCGTTGATATACTACAGCGAGTCTGTAGAGAGCTGTTGTTTAGAGAAATCGAGCTCGTTGTCTTCCTAACTCGAGCAAATCAAATACGCCGTTGTGAGACAACCTGTAAATAAAAAAAGAATCAGGTTTTAGCAATACTGTCATTTGCTGAAGTCTACTCGAACAACTGCACCGCCTTTTCAAGAATTGTGGCTTTGTAACGTGATATTGCTTTTAAGAAGGATATAAAAACCGTTTTATATTAGAATTTAATGCCTCAAGCCCCTGAAGAGCGATGAAGTAGGGCTGTGCAGGGCGTAAACACTCAGAAGGCATTGAAAAAAAAGAGGAGGCCCTCAGTCCCGTGCCAGCTAGGGCATCTGTCCGCGAGAGGCAGGGGTAAGGGAAGCCATGATTGCTTCGTCACCAATCGTGAGAGGTTCAGGCTGCTTTTCTTACACCTTTACTTACTGCCAACGTTATATACAACACCGCATCATTTTAATAGCGAACAAGTAGCCTTAGATTAGCGGAACTCTGGATACATCATGTTAGTAGATGATCACAATCTACAAAGGCTGATCTTGAAGAAAACTAACTGAGACAACCTTCTCTAAAAATTGCCCTTAAATTGTCATTTATACTTCTGTAAATGAAAAACACTCGTCTTTATTGAGTATCTTCACTTCTTATACGGTCGTTGCAGAGGTGGCTCCTGTACTCTCGGATACGTTCAGCGCCTCGGTGCGAAAACAGGGCGAACGGTTGTCCCTTCGCTGTGTCGCAACTGGCTCACCATTGCCTCAAGTTTCATGGCTACTGGATGGGCAGCCCGTAAGCGAATCGGGGAGTACTCAGCAGGGGGACTTTGTTCAACCCGATGGGTTTGCCGTAGTTTCTTTCGTGAACATCTCTGCCCTCCGCGTTACTGATGGTGGTGATTATTCGTGTAGAGCTTCAAATGATGTTGGCACAGTGGAGCACACGGCTAGGATTGGTACGTACCTAACACCGATGTCCTAGTAGAAGGTAACATAGCTATTGATTTGATCAATATAAACCGAAGATAGCTAACAGGAAACCGCTTGATAAACGGCCTTAAACAAGCACGGCCATTGCTGCCATAATTGATTTTGTTATTCGAGAACAAACTTACTGCCATTTGCATGAAGGTAATACAATAACAACGGCCTTTTATTTCAGACGTGGCAGGTCCTCCATTTATTCGAGCAATGCGTAACCTTACAGCCATAACGGGCTCCGACTTCCGCCTTCATTGTCCTGTGTCTGGGTACCCCATTGAAGCTGTGCACTTGGAAAAAGGTGCGTATAGTAAATAGAAAATTTTGTTAGCTTACCCAATACAGTGTCCACTGTGAAGGTAATAATATTAAAGATAAAATAATGGCTTATTCATGTTTATGGTTATACTGAATACTTAAATGGGTAACTTCATTTAGTAGCACTAGCGAGGCATAAAAAACTTTTCCATGGGGTGTTGGTAAGCTAGGCTCGTAAAGCTGACGCCCATCTGATTAGGTCTGTAATGGTCAAGGCACCTTTACCCGGAATGAAACAATGTCGCAAATAGGGTTGTCTACGTCATCAAATCCGAAATTTCCTGCATCAGCAGAACTCACTCGTCTTCACCAGGTTAGGTATTTTCACGTATAACGAACATCCTCATCCAGTCGCGATCGGCCCGATAGTCTGACGAAGTTCGTGATAGGAAGGAGAGTCAATGGTGAAGTTGCTTTCTGAATATTCAGTTATCCTGTAAAATTTTGTTATCCTACATGGATAAAAAAAAATCGTAGAAAATTCTCCGATTTATTAGATTTTTTTTTTATTAAGTTTATCCTTGAGAGGGAGTAATTTTTTTGGGAGGAATGGTTTGTGATCGTCGGAGATTCAGGTAGCTAGCTACTCAGGAAATCGATGGTGGCATCACTCAACAATAGGGAAATTACCACTTTTCTGTTGCGTGAATTTGCTTATTCCACCATCAGAAAATATTCTGCTTTTGTTCAGTAGTGATAATACATTACACGTCATTGAATGATTACCAGCAAAACAGGCTGAGACCGATCAAAACGTTTGCAGCCAATTGCTACTATTCTTAGATTCCGATAAAGGAATACCCGTTCCTGATTTTAAGAATGGAGATTATTCGATTGGCTAGTTTATCGGGCCACGTTTTTTTAGGCAGGATACATCTAAATATTCACATTTTTAGTAGCGTAATCCCTTGAACAATTGTAAGAATTTGTATGAAGAAGAAGCCATTCCTGATTTTAGCTACCATTACTTGTTATACTCTAAGCGCAAATGTTCATAATAATGTTTTTTTTTTCTGGTATTACCACATGCACTATATGCCCCGCGTGGTATTTGATCGCAATATCTAAGAACATGCGAGCTTACCTCGAGGGGTGGCTAGATTTTACTGATAATGAGCATGTTTCAGTGAGCCGCTGTTGTTCGAAAGGAGCCGTTTGTAAATACGCGGTATGCTTTCACTCTTCATTGAAGGCCAGTGAGACCCTATCTTAGTCCTAATCGATTATATGGAGAATTAAGTTTTACCTCAGTTGTGATGAGCCTTCTGAAGCTGTAAGGGGATTAACCTGAAACATTATCCTTTTTTTGCCTTACCGGAAAAACCCAAGCTTATAGGATACATCCGGCGGATACACGCATGAAGCATTGTTTTCACAGAGAGAAGCCAATGCGTACAGTGTAGAGTGTGGGCCAGATTATCCCTATGGCTAACGAGTAGGAAACTAGTATAACATAGCAGGATCTTCTAATGTGTTGACTAATAATTACGCGAAACAGATTTAGCAAATACCATTACTATCAGATCAGTGAGTACGTTTGGAGGGGCGGCTGATCGTCGTAACATCAAACGAAAAAGGCTTAGATACATTTATTTATAGTGTGAAACTATCTTTTCGGTATATACATCTATAGGTATGATTTCTTTACAATTACATACATTTCAGTAATGGTATACATATCATCTATGTATTAGGTTGGAATATAAACAATGGCATGAATAAATCATTTTCCAGCAGCTAACAAAAACGTAGCTCTGTATCAGAACTGTAGAAACAAATTATTTCGCTCGTACTCGCTGTTACTCTTTACATCGTGCTCCGGTGTGCTCACCAATTTATTTATTCGTTGTCGTCAACGATTTGTAATGGTTCGTAATCAGGTAGTAATCCATGACCTCGAAGTTTGGAGAGGATGATGGCTGCATATTGTGTTAGTGTGAATCTATGAGCGCCTGTTTATGGAACGCTTAAGTTTCTAACTCTTGAATCAACGCTCCGAACGCGTAAGACCTCTGAGGACAGCTCTGTTCGCACTTGCATTTTTCGGCAAATTAAGATCGTTTACCCTCCGAAGTCTTCATCGACCTTATGACCCCCCCCCCACCCCCTCTTCTTATATGTATATATATACAGTATATAGAAAGGCGGGGCGTCCAATTTAAGAGTCTAACCTATGAATTAAGAAGACTATATTCAACCGAAATCATATATGGCAAAATAATTGTTCACTAGATGATGCTAGATGTGTCATACTTGATGGCAACCGTTCGTCCGGCGATATTTATTGGTGCAATTTTTTTTGTCTCTGACAAAAAATGCAATGGATTAAATGTTAGGCTAACAGCAGGCCAAAAATACCTTGAAGGCACTATTTTGAACTTGCCAGTATCGATTGACGCGCGGTTTCTATTGTGTTAGTTGCGGATTAAAGGCAAGTCCCCTCAAGTTATATGGCGGGTAGCTAGTATTCTCTTCTGCAAAACGGGTATTAAGTTCTACAGCAAAAAGCTGCAGGTTTTTTATAGCAAGACGCTTAATTTTATTGAGGATATTCCAGTTTGCCTAAAAAAAGTTTTGCTGCTCAGATTTTCCAATAGCGCAGATAACTAGTTTTTTAGTAGCCGCTTGAAACTGGCAATAACATAGACCATCGATGCACCTTCGAGATCGTTCTATAAAAAAAAAAAAACGCTGTTATCTGTTACCAGGAACTCCAAATGAGCATTACGACAAATAGCACCGTGAAATATTTATAGTATATATATATGATTTGTTCGCTCTACACCTCGTTCTTATGTGGTGATGGTGACGGAAATACCTAGGATTTCGTGCATACTAGGGCAATGGGGCGCGCTACGCACGCACGTGTCTTAACATACGGTACAGTCTCTGTGCTATTTCGTAAATCCAAACCTCTAGCCATGCAATGACACCCGCTTCAGAGCCGGCTAAGGTTTACTTTAGCGAGGTTGCCCGATTATCCACAGCATTTTCGTACCGTCTTTGGAGCACCGCGCCTGTTCTGTGTGCTCAAGCTGAATCTCTTCTCTCTTGAGACGACCCGCATTCAGCCTTGCGGGTACGCAACCAATCGCCTCTCTAATTGCAGATTCCCCCGAGTGGGGCAGACGTTCGAATACACGCGTTTGGTTCGCTAGGTTTAAAACTTCCGCAATTTTCACATCAATTGACCACTATTTTGATTTGAAAAAATACGCCGGGTCGCTATGGAAGTGACAAGAGGGATATATTGGACACCCCAAGGCCGCCCACTTCCATTGCCGATCGGCATCAACAAGGGCCTTGCCCACCCAACACGAGTCCTTTGCTCAGTGCCACGCCAATGCACCGAACTCGGCTGCCCATAGCGCTAATATGCTTAGCTTGGAAACAACTCCGCAAACTACATCTTCTGCAAAAACCAGTTTACTATGCCTGTTGGGTGATTCTGCCAATGATTCGACTTCAGCTATACATCGGTGCATTCGGTACTCGCGTGCAAGCCTCACAAAGGCCGTGAACTCGGGTGGTGGCGCTAAGGTGATTGAATCGCCTTATCGGAGCGTACAAAGTCGTTACACAGGCACGATTGCTTCCACGTACGCCTTAAATTTAAACAGTAACCCGACGCGCTCAAATACAAAGCGTTTCTGTTGGATGAGCTCATACAGGCCCTCATCGTCTGTTCGGACCGGTGCACAATATTCTGTCCTGTAAGGTGACACTTCCCGTGGAAACCGTTTGAATAGATGAGCCTTCAACTCTTTCCAGGTCTGCGCGTTGCCTACAACGGATTCGAACTATTATTAGGCAGGACCTGGCACAACTTCATAAGCAAGCCCGGTGAAGCGCTTATACGGCCGGCCGCAGACACCTGCCGCTATCTCCAACGACCTACCCCATTACCATGCTTCGAGTAGTTAAGAAGTTGTAGATTAAGCTGCCTTCAAACTCTGCCAAACGCTTTACCAAGACTCTAAAGTCTCGCGGCTTGGCCAACCACTTTGGCATTCTCGAATTAAGTCTTCTCGCATAAATTCTGCTTCACTCTCTCATCGTTACCGCCAGTTTGAGTGACAGTGCACTATTACTAACGTAAACGCGATTCGTCCTACATCTCGATTTTATATTTACTTTGTAGGAACGAAGTAGGTAAAGACTAGAACCATACATATTTTTTCTGTTATTCTAAACGTCATCCCACGCCGTTCATTAGCTATAGCGTTACCTAGACTAGAATGATTAACAGTGGCTAGAAGTTTTTTCGTCAAACCTATTGAAATTTGTTACATGTTAGCGTCCCTGTCGTCTTCGTCAAGTGCAGTTACAATGCAACTGCTAGTGGCTAGTATCGAAGTCTTAAGTGTGCACCGAATTTGTGGTTCGGGGTCTTGATCCAGTCTGTTACAGGTCGGCTCAGCATCGCTCACCATTATGTCAGCAAAATGTCGAAATTTCTAAAACGGCTTTTCGCAAAAATAAATGCATTGAGTTAACCTCGTCATATTGTTCACAATCACACCATTCCGTACTTTGCCGTGTTGAAACAAATCACACATACTAGTATACTTCGTTGCCTGCAGAGGCCGGTGACTCTATATAATACTCTTCTGTTACGCGAGCAGAAGTAATGTTTGCGCACTAAACACCGCTTAGCAAGTCTTTTTCTTAATAGAAAATTGTCATGGCCTCCTGGAGGTGAGATAAATTTGACAAGACAAAGATGCTATTGTGTCCTATAACGCGGGACATTGAAACAAAACGTTGTGAGGCGCCCCACCGTTTGCCAACAGCGTATTTAATCATGGCCTATCGACGCCCTAACGATCCTTTAAGGCAACAAAAATATATGATTTATTCACTAATTAATATCATGAACACATCATTTATCGGAAGTGTTTCCTGAAAGGTAAATTTCTATTCCTGCAGCACCTACACATACGGCATAATATAGTTGTCTTCAGACTTACGATTCTTCCGTTA